TTTGTTTTATTTTAGTTCTATGAAATGCTTAGATGTTAATTCTTTAGTTGACCCAGTGTACCCCATTTGTTGACCCACTGTACCCCTTTATGGGGCACAGTGGGTCAACAAGTAGTACTCTAGAAAAATGTCTTTTTATTGTAAAAAAAACAATTTGCTAAATTGTAATAAATTTAATTAGGATAGCTAATAGATTAGAAAACATAATGCATAAGTTTGATATTCTTTTCTAAGAACATTTTTAGAATTATATTTAAATATCTTAAAATTGACCCACTGTACCCCCTTCTCCCCTACTGGTCTTACAGTACACTATTAAAAAAGGTTTTATTATTAAAAAAAAAACTTTAGAAAAATAGATTTTATTCAGTTCATTAGTTTTATAATGGATTTTTTTCCCCTTCAGAATTATGATTTACATCAATTGGAAATCAGTCTGCCATGGAGCTCCAATGCTATTTATATTCTTTTTCTCAAAATAATTTTCAATTTAATGTATTTAACTTTTTTTCTACTTCACAAATTTAAACATACAATAGTAAAAACCACTGAAAAATTTAAGTAATCTATTTGTACAAAATCTCAATTTAATTAACACAAAGCAAAAATAAAGCTTAACTAATTATTTTAAACACATTCCAATATTAAAAAGCAAATTAGTTTAAAAATTTTGAATAGGAAAATAATACTTGCTAAAACTAGCAGCATTTTAACAGAACAGTTTCATGATTTTTACCTGTTTAAACTGGGGCATGTTTTTATGAAGTGGGAGGGGAAAAAACCATATGTGTATATATATATATATATATATCAGTAAAATTTAAAGACTAGTTATAAAATAAAACATTCCTGCCAACAGTCTGTTGTGAACCAGGGGTTAATATAGGTTAACGACAGGATCGAGACAATGTGGTCATCATTATGCACCGACCACCTTTACTTCCCAGAAAAGCTGGTATCTATCAATTTGAAGCTGTTTAGACTTCAAACTGCCACAGGAGTCGAGTCTTAATAAACCTACTTCACTAGGACAGCTCAGTGCTTTAACCACAAAGCCAATGCGAATAATTAGTTTTACAATTTAAAAAAACCTCAGCATTTAGTAAAAAATTACACATTAAATTACTCTTTAAATTTTAAAACCGAAAATCACAAATAATTTAAGTGGAACCATATTTAAACATTCAGAAAAAATGGAGAAACAGAAATACGTACAGAAATTAATTGCATAAACCGTAATCATAATAGATATAACAATAAAACGTAGCTACAATAGTAATTTATACAATTTGAATACAAATTAAATATTCCAGCATTGAAAATGTAAAATTACTCATTTTTCTTGAAATTTTAGAACATAAATACTAACACTAATTTGGCAAATATGAGAGAATTTATATAATACAAATTATTTCCAAAATTTGTTTCATAGCATATAACTAAATAGCTTTTTATATTTTGTAACAGGAAGATCAACACTAACTAATAGTATTTCAGGTATGGAACAGCAATAAATTGAAATTTTTTTTATTTTTAAAAATGCTTATTTTTATGACAAATTTAAAATGTACCAATATTATATAAATTTTTGAATTTAGGTTCACTAGTAGCTTTATACAAAATAAATTAGTAATTCTTAATTTTGTTTAGTATTCATATTTGACACATTTTAAACACTCAGCAGAAAAAGGTAATTAATATATAAAATATTAACGTAATCAATAAATTTTAAAAATAAAAAAATTAGGGTTGTTAAATCTTAGAAATGAAAAATCAATAGTCAGTATTTTCCAAAAATTGATGATAACAGAAACATAAATTTATGATTGTTAGTCTTTTTTTTTTCTCTTCTTGTAAAACATATTTAAAACTAATAAAATACTCAGAATATTAAAAAAAAAGTTTAAATATATTAAATTTTGTTATGTGTAAATTTATATCAATGTTATTTAACAAAAACAATTTCATACCTAGTTTCAAAGTTTGACTTCAATCTTAAACTAAACTTTTTTGTACAAAATGAAACAGGTCTACACAGACTGAACTGGAAAAATACTAGAAACAATACTTTTTTTTGGGGGGGGGGGGGCAANGGATAGCGACAGAGTGACAAAGGGTCCCTTGTATTCTCCTTCCAGAGAAATTTCTTTTTCTCAGAAATAAAAATGTTTTTTTTTTTTTGAGAAACCACATTGCAAAGGTGATGGTTAAAGGGCCATCAAATGGTTTTTCTGCCCGGACTTCAATAGGAAGAAATCTTGTTCACAACCTGTAAATGTGAATAACACAGTATTCTTTCTTTAGAGGTCCGAATAGATCATTGATGAAACAACTGTCAACTAAAAGACAAGTAAAATATGCAGGATCTTTTATACTCAACTGAATGCCTTTGACCCTAACACCCCTCTCTGCTCAGCGTTACTGCTCTTTTGAGGGATGAAAATTTTTTCTCATATTCTATTCAGGAAAGAGGGATTTAAACGTATGGCCACAAAATGAAAAATTAATTTTTAGCAGTCCTTCTTGACATTTTCTTTAAAATTTGTTTTTCAATAAAAAATTGCTCTGTCTGCAGCACAATTTTTATTTCGCATCGCAAATGTAATTCATACAACTGAAAAAATGCTTAACATCTTAAATCAATTTATTACTCTTAATGGGCAAAATGTAGAGGCATAAGCACAGACGGAGCTAAATGAGGAGACAACTTTCAGCATTATGAAAATCGAATTGAAGCAATTTTGCTCTCAGATACATTAGATCAATACTGTTGACATAATGAGCAGTATTGATAATATAAAAAGATTGATATTGACTTTTATTCCACTTGTAAAGTTTGACAGTTTTTTAGAGGTTAATTTCTTTCTCTCTTTTGAAAACCTTTTCCCCACTGAGTAAAAATTTTGACTGAATTCATTTTCTAAACTGGCATCTCTGTCAGAAGTTTTTGGTCAATTATGCATGGTGAATCTTCAGGAAGCACATGTTACTGTTTTTCAAGCTGAAGACAAATTAGCCGTGATGGTTAAAAAGCAGGATCATTGTCTAATTTTGAAGACAGATTATAATTTTAAAGCATTTCCCAAGATTTTCTTCATTCTAACTAGGGGAAGATCTCTTAAGAAGGCATAATGCATTGCACAACACTTACTAATTTAAGCTGAGTTAAGTGAAAGTTATTCTCCTGTCTATGAAAGAAAACATAATTTTATTAAAGATCCATTTGCAGTAGATGTGTGCGTCACATCAGCAGAAGAACAGCTGATAGAAATTTCCTCAGATGGAGCTTCGAAATTGGTTTCAGAGAAAAAGTCCCAAACTTTTTGTGTCATTTCCAAGAAATTTTTTTCAATGTAAGCTCTGTTGTCTTTCCAAAATATTTCTTTATATGATGGAACATTTCAATTCTTCTTTATCTTAAATGTAAGTACAGATACCATTTGGGAATCGTAGAACTGGAAATGAGATTTCAAATATTATACTTGATATAATAGCACTTGTGAGAGAAATGCAACACCATCCTTCTCGTTAAAAATTTTAATTAATGCAGTTAAGTAATATTATTTATTTGAAATAAGTATATTGTGATATTTTTAATTAGCTGTTCTTAAAGCCAAAAAAAAAAAAGTCTATAAATAGCAGAGACAGTTTTAGGATTATTAAGGAACCCTTACATCACTCAGCCATATGTTGGGAGTAATAGTCAAAACCTTTGGGATCCACAAAGTCAAGCCAATACATAAAGGATGGCAGCGGTGATCAAAAGTTTAAAAAATGCTCATTTAAGATTCTCCTATATAATCAATTGTAGGTAACAGGCATAAAGAAAGGGTGCAATTTACAAGAGATTTTTATTTACAAAAATTTTAATTCTAAAAGAAGTTTTACAAGAGTCTTGCACTTCAATAATAATTGTCATACATGAAAAATATTTACAAATGAATTTTACACCAATGAATAATTTCACTTTGTCATAATTTTCATAAAATTGGGTCTTTCGTCATCGATGTAAACGATTTCACTCGCGAGCAATAATTCCAGGTACTCCTGGGGATAAGATGTCCTAATATAAGTTCCTTCTACTTTTTCCCACTCATCTGGTTTAAGAGTATTCTCTTTTAAATCAGGAAATAATGCCTTAAAGGGAAAAAAATTCTACATTATCTCATGAATTTATTATCTATTGTAACAACACTGACTAAATAAATTTATAAAATATATTACATTAACATATTCATTTTTGTTATTTTTAGTGAAATTCTCTGAAAATTAGGGTAAATTAACCGTAAGAACCGAACAAGAAACATTTTAAATAGTGAAGTTTCGAATGGTGAACTCTAAAAACAGTAAAACTGCAAAATAATAAAGAGTTTATGTGGACTATAATGTAGTTTTTGTGAAGCACTTTTTCTGATGAAATTTTATTCTAAACAGCGAGTCTATTTTATGCAATATAGCATGTTATACACACCAAAAAATGGTTGAAGGAATGTGAAAAAATAAAAAAAAGGTATGAAACATCTTCTGGGACTGGTTATTTTCCATCGCACAAAAAAATATATATGATGCCATCAGATTTAAGTAGGCTAAATTAAACTTTCAAAATAAAATAAAAAAACAACTCTTGCTACAAAAAAATATTAACAAAAAAGATAATCACTAATGCAATAAACAACAAACTTAAATTCTGGTGATTTCAGCTCAGTGTGCAGTCATTGAAGAATAAAAATAGAAGATTTATGTTATTTTAAATAGGGACCCATGTTTAATAAAAAAAAGGACTCAGAAATTTGAATGTTCCCATAGTTTCTAAAGTCAAGCAAAATCACTGTAGACTGTATCACGCTTACTTTGACCGGGTTTCTTGACACGCCACATGTTTCTAATAACGAGAAAATAATACATCAAGAACCCGCATTGACTGCGAGAAGTGTGCACGGACAAATTTGCTGGAGGTCAGGTTAATGCTACAAAATTCCAAACTAGATATTTACGTTGTCTAGAACATTACTTAAATGATAAATAAAATACAAAGATAATGAGGCTATCAAAACTCACTCCTAAACTCGGGATGATGATGACTACAAGACTATCATACTGAAAATACAAATCAACAGAAAAACAACAAGCAGTAAGCACTTAAGTATAAGTGAATATTCTATTTAAACTTTTAAATTTAATTTACATAATGTCAATGCCAACAGTTTAATAAAAAGTAAACTATTATGATAATCTCTGATTTAAAAATATCTACAAATTCTTATATATGATGTAAAACAAACTACATTCGTTAACCGCTCCCTGGTGGCAGACTTGACGTCATAAGGAATATTAAAAGATATAAATGTCCGTTGCAAATTTTCTCAGCTCTGTAAATTGCTCATAAGGGTAATGGATATCAGAAATTAATAGTAAAGAATGATTTTATTTTTAAATCGATTAATTCCTTTTTCACTTTACTAAGTAATACCTACAAATATGTTTTTTCACAAAACATAAATCTATTTATGTATGTGAGTTTGAGCTTTCTTTAAATTAGGAGAAAGGCTTTACATATGCCCAACATGTGTTTACTCTTATCAAGTGTAAAAGAATCCTAATTACAGAATTAGCAGTTTTGATAGACAGATGCTAGCTGAGATCTTCATGCCTATTAGTTTCAAATTTATATATATGATAAAAATGAACAATAAAAAAATGATAAATCGAACAGCCAGTTATCAACATTAAATTAAGTTTCCTTCAATCATTTCCAGTTGTAAAAATAATTTAAATTCATAAAATCTACCCTGAATTATTACCTAATCAACTTTCATCACTCAATAAATTTCACAATTTGCTGCATATTTAAAGTTTTATCCAACCAGTGATTGAATACAGTCCAGGTTGATTTAAATACTTTTCAAGCAAATGTTGAGGTTGCTTATTATTAACAGACACTAATGAGTTAAATGTAATCTGATTTTACTTATTTTTTCCTATGCATCATGGTTTAAGATTTTACCTTTTAAAATGTTTTTATCTTATTTTAACTGTTTAGTGACTCTAGACTAGTAAGTTATTCAAAAACATTGCCTTGATACTTAATAGATAATAAATTAAAGGTTATAGAAAAGCATTGAGTAGACTGAATCTTCACAGTTCTTGAGTTTTAATTTGAGAGTCGAAAGATATTTGTGCTTAAATATAATTTGATAAAAATGATAAATTTTTGTCATAAAGTTGTGTTACATGATAAAGTTGTTATAACAATGTAATGATAATAGAATACTAAAAAATATACCTGTAGAATTGAAAACAAGCTTTTGCCTTGCTTTAAACTATCCCCAATATCCTAAAAAATAATAATAAATAATGTACTAAAAATATATAAATCGATATAATTTACACTAAATTCAAAATTTTCAAAGATCTTAAACATTTTTAAAAACATTCATTAAAAAATAACTTTTATAGTAGAAATAATATATAAACCATTTTTATCCAAAGGTGATTACTTTTCTTTTACTTATGTATCAATATGCAGTCTCCCTCTTTTCTTCATTGTAGTAATCATTTAGAAATAATTCAAAAATTGTCACAACTAATCTAAAGTTTACCCAACAGCAAACTGTTGAGCACCCTTTTCTTAGTATATGGTAAAAAATGTCAGGGCTTCATGGGGGCACTTGTGGCGTGAGAAAGGATAAAGAGGCAAACACTTAAATGATGCTACCTAGAGAAATGGTGTATTTTTATGTGGAATAGAATGAGATCAAACTCAAGATAAAAAGTTTAAAAACTGCAATGGTTTCATAGTATAAAAAGTAACATTTTTGAATTGTATCTTATATGCCTGACATAACTATCTAGACAAGAAAATATTATTTCATGATAACAGAATTAAAAAAAAATAATAATAAGGGGTATAATAATTATGGCAAAAACAAATATCATGATATACCTATGTGTGACATCGTTTGCAGGTAAATTCAAATCATGATTGAAAAAATAATATTGGATCATGAATTTAAAAATACATGTTCAAATTATTGATATCTATTGTTATTTAGAGAGGTTCAGATAATTTGGACCCAGTCAATATGAATAAGATATGTTCTGTTTTTAAATATCAATAAGGCTCTAGTATTTTAGTACCAAATTATTTTTAAAATAATGAAAGCATTATAAACCAGAACTTATTTTATTAGAAAAAATGAATGAATAAAAAATGAAACTTATTATATTAGTGAAAAAAGTTTTTACTTAAAAAATTGCTCTTATTCATGATTATGTGTGAAAGCCACCTGCTGTGCATAACTTTGGGGTCAAATGTCTATCCCTGTGACATGCCTCTCTAATACTATCTTTCTGTGAGATACTTTTAAAAATAAAAATTTTTTTCATTTTGTAAATCATCATCACATTAAAAAAATTATGAAATTCATAGCAGTAACTACCAAAAAAAAAAAAGAAAAAAGATTGACGAATGAAATCACGGGAATCAGACTCTTCGAAAAGGAGAAACTAAATGCATGTTTTCATTTCGAGATTCAGCTGTAATAAATAATATCGTATTAAAAATATAGGATTTTAAAAATTATGTGGGAATCAATAATAATAATCACATAAAAAACAAAACGAAAATTTCTGCAGAAAAGAAAACTAAAATTTTTTTACTTCCCAAAGGAAAAATCTTTCTGTAAGAATCCACGATTCTGCCAAGGAGGTGCTAATGACCAGTTAATGATGAAAAGCGGTGTAAAATGACAAAATAGAAAACGATTCTGTAAGAAGAGTGGGGTTGTATACGAAAATTTTTGTTCTTATCTTGATTTAGCAATCATTCGTTCAGCTGAGGGGAAAAGGAATAAAAACATGCTAGTTTTGACATTGATGGGTGCCATTTCTCATGTCTTTTCTAGTGAAAGAATTTTTTTTAGAAAAAAATATCCAAACGATTCTTATAAAATTGTGTTTTAGTTTAAATGGTACGTTCCATACAAAAATCAGAAATATCAGGAGGAAAAGCAAAAAAATCAGTAACAATAAGGATTCATTTTTAATCAGGAATATTAGGACAACTACAAACCCTGTATAATTATTGTTTTGGCAAATAAAATCATAAAAAGGCAAATTTAAAAAAGAAAATCACTACTTTGAACATTAGACAGAACACATTTTTTAACTACTATAATACAATGTCAATATTTCTTAAAATTTTCATTATAATCAATATGTTTCAGTTAAAAACTCAGCAAAGCCAAAACAAAAACATAAGTACCTGTCTTTGATTAATAGCGACAGCAGGAAAATATTCTCTAGTAATTCTTCTCTAAAGAAAAGAAATAAATATACATTGAGGAAAAAGCTAATAAAAATACATTCAGAGATAAATAGTAATTGTTTGGTTTTAATATGAAGAATATTACTTATTAAAAAAAGTAATGATATCTTAAAAAAAAAAAAAAAAAAGTTTTAAAATCTTAATACAAAAAGTTATTTAGCAAACATAAGCCATGAGTTAATTACTATTTCATTTTAGGGCAAACTATTGTATTCCCCCCCCCCTGATTTCAAATCGTATCACAAAATAAATTCTGATGTTCACTATTTATTGCAGATTGTTTATTTTTTCTTGTCTACAAGCTGATACCTGCATTGACCCCTGTGCCAAAACTATCTTGGTTTCCCAACTTTAACACTTTACAATTCCATAACTTTATTAGCTTGCAAAAACATTTTTTTATTAAAATTAGATATAAAAAAATGTTAAGTTTAATAACGCAAATAACAATGCAGATTAGGTCAGCTATTCTTAACATCATATGAGCTTCTTCTTTTTTAGGTGATTTGTTTTGGAGTTAAAACATTCTACTTGATTTCAGTTTTTCTTAGACTTTGAAGTTTTCTGGACATTTATTATTCAGCAAAAATGTTATCATATCGTAACCAGTGTATCACCCTATGCTTAAAATAGAAATTATAAATTTTGAAGGAAGTCGATAGGAGAAAAATGTTTTTGTTAAAACAAATCCAGTATTTATGTGTAAATATTAGCTACGGTTTCGTACATTCACTATGCAGCAACCTCACATTGTGATATCTATTTTTGTATTGTCTTCAGGGATAATTATATAGAGGGTTGACTGTAATACCCATTCTTATCTGTCAACGATTTACACCCAATATACCAATAGCTTCTGATTTATATCTAATATAAAAGTGTGGATGAATATATAATGTTGTGGATGCCATTTTTCACTATTATATTAATAAGTACATTTATATGCTTTCATAAATGCTAATTAAAAAAGATGTTTGGACAAGTATTTTGTAGACTAACCAACCTGGCAGAAAATTTTGAGATTTTTTGAGCTCTAACAACCACTAATTTTTGGTGAATGGAAATTTTCTGCTGAAGGGCGATGGAGCAAATGATTATTTAGAAAGAGGGACTAAAAGAAATATTTTTAATTAACTAAATAAATTATTCTTATATTCCAGTATAACTGTATGCTTACTCACCATCCTACGGATCAGTTTTTCATGTAAATATATCAGAATCTCAGACCTGAAGTTTTCAGTTTCTTTCGCACTAGAAATATATAGCATTAGATAAAGAATATGTAGCATAATGGTGCATAATCTTTTTGGCAGAACTTGGTTTTTAGGGAATCAGAATTAATTCATTTTCTATATTATTTTGTCTTCCAATTTAAGAAACATTGTTCACTTTGTCTTCTCTATTATAGCAGGTTTTGGATTTTCTATAGTGAATAATTGGTACTTCTTTGTTTTGAGACCATAAAAAAATTGCCAAATTATAATTGATACCATTGATTCCTTCTTAATTGTGATAATAGGCTCTACTGGTATAGTGGTGATAGGTTTTTAGACACCAAAACAAATAAGTACCAATTAATTTCATTCTTTATTTATTTTTTTTTTACATAAATTACTTGCATGGTTAAATTTTTAATAAATCTGTGAATTGCATCTTTTTAAAACATGTTTTAGTTAAAGGAAATTTCCTTAAAAATAATAAAAGATTTAAATCTTTAAACAACTAAATTAGCGCTTCAATATTTAGAGGTAATGTGCTATAATTTCAGAGTTCAGTATAATTCATTAAAATAAATTTGAAACATAGGTAAAGCTATAAAAAAACTATTTAAGGGCAGAAGATTGTGCTATCCATAGGTGTTAGGTTAAATGAACATAATAAATTAATTAACAGACAGATATAAAATATCTTGTCATAAGACAAGATAGACTAAAATGAATAGTACCTTAACATTAAATCTTTTAAAATTATTATGAATTCTTATGAAAAAATAGTAAATTTAAAATATTTTCTGGGAACTTAAGTAATTGACACAGTACATTATATGAATAATATAAATGCAGAAAAAAAAAAATTCTCAACTGCAGAACATATTTCTTAAAAATGCATAAAAAGAAAGTGATGATAAACTATATTTAATAAAATGTTTGAAAACTAAATCATGGATTAAATAGCAGTCAGACATAGCTCAGTTGAAAACAGAGAAGAAATATGAAATGCATTTTGGTACAATGCAAAATCTAGATTATTAGAAATAAACAAAACCAAGAACATTTTGGATAATTGACATTTTCAGATGATTGAGGCTTATCATCATAATCACACATTTTCTTTTAATTACAATAAAAATAAGTTTGTTTTCTTATTTTTATTTTTACAATCAACACACATTCATGTAATCTTCAAAATACCTTTATTTTTAACATTTTTTGCAACATAAATTCAAGTTCACGGGTAAGAAGATCAAATGTATGTAGTACATATATTTTGAGAGAATTTTTCTGACACATTCATTAATGACGCATTTCAAAAAATTTATGTTTTTATAAATTTCAGTCATTGATATTTTCAAAACATGAGATTCTAAATAAATTATATGCAGCATAATTTAAATGAATAATTATGTATAAATTTACCTTTATCTCTAATCACATTTATTATTCTACCAGAAAAAAATTTACAAATGAAAAATATGCCAAATATAAATTCTAGTTCTAATATTTCTAAATAAAATATAAAAGAATTTTTATACATAAATATAATCAATGATTTCTTGAAACTTCTGGACCTTGGATCGCAATTAGCAAAAACTCTGGAAACCTGGATTTTTTCCGGAGCACAATCAGCTCTGTAATTAGTCACTAAGCATAAATTTTCACCTTTTTTTTCAGTTGTAATTATGAATCCTTAAATACATGAAAATATGACATAAGTATTAATGTTACATCAAACTCATAAAATAAAGCAAAGCAACAAGGGTCGAGGGGATTTCAAATTGAGAATGAAGCGTATTCAATTCTTGAGATGATTCAATTGAAATTTTTTTGGTAATTAAAATGTAAACCTTTTTGAAATTAATAGTGCTGTTTTAGAGCTTGTGTAAGGGGTGACAAGGCAAGTTTTGTAAAATGAATGAACCAGAAATATATGATCATTTGATACTTAGCCTGGGCATTTTAACAAATAGTAAAATATAAAAATGATCTTACTCCTCAAATTCCTTCGAAAATTGGTGAGTGTCTTCCTGACATATTTTCTTTAACCTGAAATAAATAAACAATGAAAATGAGAAAGATTTGAATGATGCACAATTGAATAATAGTATATATCTCTACACTATGTAATGTGATACAACAAACATTTTAGGAACTTAGTAGAGAGAATATGTTAAGTTACATTTTTAATTATTGTAAAATTAAAAAAGAGAAATTTCTAAGGTTGAATGGGTGAGGTACTACTATCATTCAAAGGTTATATTATTATATGCAGATATTAAAATATGCTGAAATATTTTTCTGTGTTTGTTTCCTCAATGGAATTAACTGTTCAGTCCTTAACATAGAATCCAGAAAAGTGTAAGAAAACTTCAGTAAAAATGAAATGTCAGTTCTTTTTTACAAAAATAAGTTGAATAACATAAAAGCGTTAAAAATTTATAATAAGACTTTCCCGCGGACAGGACAAGTGATTCATTTATTTTATATTTGCAGAAGCATCTGGCATCAAAAATTGGGAAAGATTTAAAGCAAAAGATGGAAAAAAGTGACTGGTTTATTTGAGTCGCCATTTTTTTGCTCACTATGTGGCTTGCCTGTTGTTTTCAGCTCTACTTCAAATTGCCCTTAAGAATTGATCCCTGATCCTTAATGACAGTTCAGAGTCCTTGCAGCTCATTGGTCATGGCAATAATCCTATTTTTTTTTCAACTGTTGGCACCCTATAGTCGCATGATTATTGCTTATCCATTACTTCATCTTACTTGTCGTTTTTATAACAAGACAGATGAGGGATTTCACTATCTTATTTACTGTCACTTTAATAAAATTTTAACGATGAAATTAATTTAATTATTCTCCAATGTGTCACAAGCTATGATGGGACCTCTGGTAATGCGAAGGCACCTGCAAAATTCACCTTGTTTTTGGCACATGATCCTCTCTTCTCCTGGAGAAACTCATAATTGGTGAAAACAAAATCTAAGGATATCAGGATACTCCTGTAAAGTAGTACTGTTGCTTGTAATAGTTTGGGGTGTCTTATACAAGACAAGAAAAGAACCCCTTCTAATTTAGCAAGAAAGAGAAGTGTCATCTGTTTTTGTATGCAGATGGGTAACGATCAGTATCACAATAAATGAATAAAATAAGAGTGCTTGCATGGGGATAGACAGCACCTCGTTGTTTGCTCCAGATAAAATGAAGTCTATACATAATTTTATTTGGAGGTATTAGGTTTATGTTGATATTGGGCAGCAAAACAGTTGATTGGCCCAGGCTGGGATCAGGATAAAAGGAAACGATTTTAACAATTGAATAAAATTTACAAATAGTTTGAACATTTTGAATTAAAATGTGCATGTTTTCGCTTCCTTTTTTTTTTTTAAAAAAAACTCTTATGGGGGTAGTGAAATGCTCACACACTGCCAAATGCTTTTCATGAGACAACTTTAATAAAATGGTTTCAAGAAGTTCAAGTAAAATTCATCGACAAGTCTAAGTTATACACGTAAGAACAGAATTTTTCCAACTTCTTTTTTAAAAATTCTTTATACTTGTTAAATCAATGAATGAACACTTACTCTGATTCTTTTTCAAGAGTTATTTTCTTCATATCCTTTTGAAATGAAAGTAATTCTTCCAAATTTTTGACATCCTCTTGCAGTTTTTGATGAACCCACTCAAACAGCAGTGTTTTGCACCTAGGAATGACTGCAACAAACATATTTTATGGTTTGTTTCAAGATATTCTAAGAAATTATTCATTCAGAATGTGGCAGTCTAAAAATTTTATGATATAAGTTTCTTAAATTTGAAAGAAGATTGTTTATCAAAGAAACATTAATAAATTGCAACAAATTTAAAATATATAAATCTCTCGAAACATAAAAGCAGTGAGTTAGAAGGAACGGCCAGATTCCCAATCCTCTAACATCCACTTTAAATACTTATATCGTGGATTCGATGGTAAGGCATCAGAGTGAACACAGAACTGCAAGTTTGTACAGCTGAATATAAAGCCACAGAGAAGTAGATTTTCATTAACAAACGCAATAGCAAAACAAATTTAACCAGAGCACTCCTATTTTTTTTTTTAAATATTCAGATAATCTCTTACATTTCTAAATATAGTTGCCACTAATTTTTAAACTAGAGTGTTTGTCTCCAGTTTAGTTTGCTGCAAAACCTAATTCGTGTTTATAGAAAGTGACATTTTTTATGCACTTTTGGTCTCTCTTAAATTCTATCAAAAGTTAAGTTAAACAAAAAAGCAGTCAGTATTCTGAGCAATGCCATCTAGGTATGTTTTTCGTAACTAGAGTATAGAGAAAGAATGAGTAAGTTCAGTTTTGTGCTATTAATTAGCGAGCAGTATTGTGAACGCAATAGAGATCTACGATCTCTGGTGCCTACCATGTTTATGGAGAAAAATAAATATTTTTTGAGTTTGAGTCTTTGTGGTAAGTGATTATGAGCTATCAGTGAGTATTGTGTGAGACAGAGAGAAAGAAAACAGTCAGCATGAACAGATGGCTAGTTTTCAATGTATTATTGCAGTTAATTTTGTTTTATTTAGATAAGCAAACTTATTCTCATATAATAAATATGACAATAAATAAAAGGGTTATTATGATAAATTTCTCTTGAGAGTTCATAATTGAATCTACAAATTATAATGCACAATGATTACTATATTTAGGATCATATTACCACATTTCTAACAAATATCTTTTTAGTTGCAGACCCACCAAATCTCCCATTTGGAAGCAATGCAGGGGTTATCACACCTTTTATGCAACATTATAATTTAACAGGTCTTGCATTAAACTTTTATACACTCTATTTTTTCCCATTTTCATAAAAATGTCACAAAAAAAACCTACCACATTTTAGTTATTTCACTGTTTTCTGGAAATACATTATTTTTCATTCATAACAAATATGGATACAAGGATGTTTCATGAATAGAAGAGTGCAGGAAAGTCATTAGCTTGCCAGTGATGGAGACGATGGTTCTTCACCAACAATGAAATTAACAAGAGAAATAAAATGTTCTTTTGCTATTAGGTAGCAATAACTACCGAATGAAAAGTAATTGGATTTATGATGAGATCGACACACACGAAGAGTGTCAAAAGTAATTACTGAAATTCATGTATCGTAACAATCCCGTATTAAAAATATTGGGATTTTCAAAACTAAGCACAAATCCAAAGCATTAACAGGGTTCCCACTTAATTTTAGAAATAAGAAAAAAAATCCATTACTTTTCCAAGTAAATTTCAATGAAAATTGAGACCATATTTTCATCAGAAAACTTTGATTTTTTTATTTGCAACGTGAAATATTAGATTTTCTGAGTAAAAAAATATCATTAAATGAAAATGAGAACATTTCAGTTTGACTAAAATGTGAAATTTTTACAAGAAATAATTCTACTTAATGTTAGAATTATTTAATTCGAATCTCAATAATTGATTACTGTTACGGACAATTACCAGGTATGCTAAAGGAATATTCTAGGTTTTCATAAAAAAATTGCAGCTTTACCTGATTTTTTAGAGCTAAAATGAAATTCTCTGAAAATTTCAGGTTTTCCCTGACCTGTGGGAACCCTGGTTAACCATTGAAAAACTACATTGATCGAGATTGGGTGTGTCAAAAATTTAAGCGGCACAATTTCAAATTTTCTTTAAAAAAAAAAAATTATTTTTTTTTCTAATTTTGTTCAGGTTGCTGCCGCAGACCAAAAAATCCAGGGATGGCGGGCCGCAGGTTGTGCATCGCTACGATAAAGAAAAAATCTTATTTTGGAAAAGGGGAAATTAAGAGCTTTTTAAAAGCACCCAATGAAAAAAGTCCCTTTAAGGGTTTATAAAAAACGAAAATTTAAAATATGCACCGTTAAGCAATTTTAAAAAATGCTATGCAGATAAAAACCCCTGCTATTGACTAAGAAAGAAAGTTTTCATACTTATAAGCAATACCTAAAAAAAATAATTAAAAAAAATGTAAGAAATGAGAAGGTAACAGTTTTATACCATTCGGATTACTATTTTTCAGCACTTTATTTTCAGCTTTTAAATTCAAATATTGTAAATTCAAATCTTCAATAGTATTCCTACTCCTTGTTTTGATTCCATGCTCTTTACATTGTTCTTGAAGCTGGTGAGAAAAAATTGCAGTAATTAAAAAATAAATCAAGAGCATTTTTTCTATCATAACATATACAAATAACATCATATAATTTAACACATAGAATATGCACATTTTGAAACAGTGATCATAACAGAGAATCACAGGCAGATTCACAAAGTGACACTCAAAACCTCACAAATCTTTTCCATCTTGAAACTTAAGGCATGACTGAGCAATGATTTTACCCCAGACCAGGACAAAGCTTATTGCGGAACCTCAGTTTAAAATTTTAGTTTTTGTATTTTCTTGTATGTAACTAAAGAAATTCTTTGTGATTTTCTTCTAAAAAACTAATTCAAAGACACTAATAAGTTTTTTTTGTGAAGAGTTTTTGATGAGGTTCTAGGACAATTGTCTCTGTCTTTATTTCCGTTAAATAAGGTCTAGACTTGAAGTAATATTTTTTGAAGAAAAAAAAAAAATTAAATCTGAACAATTTATAACAAAAAACATTTCTAGTTTTTGCAATATTATAAAGAAAATTGATAAAAATAAATGATTTTATGTTCATAACATGCCAAAGCTGTATGATGTACAATGCACAAAAAAAAAAAAAAAAAAAAAAAAAAAAAAAAAAAAAAAAAAAAAAAAAATGAGCTAAACATTCTGAATAACTTTAGATCTAATGATATGATTTACACGAATTAGAACTTAATCTTAATTGATTGAGGGGGAGACCTCAAATATGCTAATTAATTACTGCAGACGATATTTTATATTACAAAATCAGACAGAAATATGTATTTTTGTTGAATAAACATCCTTCCTTTTACAGATTCGGATTTCTGATGTAGCTGCAATCCCCTTTCTGGAGTATTTCGTCATATTTCGAGAAATATTTTAGCAGAAGGAAACATTTTTACACAAAATTATAAAATTTGTTTATCCAAAGATAATTCCATGCAAAAAATAATTTAATAATTATTTATTTCATTTAATAATAGTCTTAATTGTTTGAAATGTAAGGCATGAAATTTTTTATATAATTTTAAAGCATGCAATTTTATATGGCAAAAGAGAAATTTTGAACGAAATCTGTCAAATTGCTTCTAAGAAATCGAATTTTAAAAGTCATCAAACTACAAATTTTACATAAAATAACATTCCTTAAAATAGTGTAAAAATTTTCAAACTGTACAATTCAACAATTAAATAAAATAAGAAAAACAAAAATAACTATTAAAAATTTTTTTTTTGAATTTTATTATTTTTGAACAAACTAATTTTATAATTGAGTGAAATTCTTTTTTGATATGACGAAATAAACAAAAACTAAAATTAACTGGTTCAAATTACTTTGCACCGCTCTCCTGAACAAACTATTGCAACCATATTTAAAAGATTGTAGCTACCCCTTACATTTCTAGGGTCAAAAATCCAAATCTGATGAAAAAAAGGTATGTTTACTCAGAAAAAGTACATTTTGTGTCTGATTTTGTAACTTAAAATATTGTCGGTGCTAATTAACCCTTTAACTTGTGCGCTCGAGTCAATTCAAACGCGATAAACAGGTCAAACCGTGCACACTTGAGATAATTCGAGCGGCATTGTATTTCAGACTGCTATAATTTTTCACACTCAAATATAATCGAGAATTGAAAATAACAATGTGAAAGCTAAGAAAAAAAAATCGTTTTATTGATATTTATCATTTACATAGCATTGTAAGCTATAACACTTATTTATTCAAGAATAAAATACACAGAGATGCCAACTTGCTCTGGACAGCAAATATATATTTCAAAGTGGTAGTTTATAAATTGTGATTCAGTAGACTTTTATCCACCACTATTTCTTAATAATTCGTAGGCTTATATAATTCACCACTTTATAGTACTTATGCCATGCTATACCTTTTAAAAAGCAAGCAAAAATAGTCAAATATTTGCAAAATTTACTTTGTAGTTATTTTAGGATTATTTTGGCGTGTCCGGAGCAGTTGGCACCTCTGAATATAGCCTTTTTCCATGGAACAAAAGGACAATCCACAAATTTTTTTTCTTTCTAAAGTGTGTTTTTTTTACATAAATTTTTTTTTGATTTTTTGGGCCAGTTTTTGTACAAAAAATCTGTGTGTTAAGGGGTTAATTAGTATAATTTAGGTCACATCTTTGAGCTATTAAGAGAGTTTTGTAGTATGTGAAAATACGACTATTATAGGGGTGCAAAACTCATGGCCCAAATGCGGCCCTTCGACTACTGAAGTGCGGCCCAAGACATTCTTCCCTTAGTCAAGGTTCTCCAGTTAATTATCTTTAAAATGTGTAGGTCCTTTTCAAGGCAGTCTAAAAATCTTAGGTTTGGTCGTCCTCTTTTTCTTGTACCTGTTGGCCTGGCACAGAAAACGTTTCTGGTTGTCCTGCTATCCTCCATTCTTATAATGTGGCCTGCCCATTTAATCCTTTGAATTTTGATAAATTTAATGACATCAGGTTCTTTATATGCTTTGTAGAGTTCCGTATTTGATCTTCTAAACCAGGTGCCATTTTTATTTATTCCACCAAAAATGCTTCGCAGTATTTTTCTCTCAAAACTAGCTATCATATTTTCATCTCCACGGGTCATTGTCCAGGTCTCACATGCATATGTAAGCACCGATCGTATAAGACATTTATAGAGTAACACTTTTGACGCAATCAATTTTAACAGATTCTTTAGTAAATGTACGTTTAACGCGCTTTCTTTAAGCCGATTTTATAGTAAATATAAATGATTTTTTTTAAACAGTTGTTTTCGCTTTTCTACATGATTTCGAAAATCCCGAATTTTTATTACGACGCGATTTTCAGATCGCAAATTTAAATAATCACTTTTCGTGCACTTTATTTGTGACGATTTCATCTTAAATTTTTTATCTTTTTTTTTTTTTTTGCAATTCTTTCTTTTTTTCAAAAATTTTTTTTGGCAGTTATTGCTATGCGTTCCCACGTATTATAAAAAATTCCAATTATTCTATTACGACATGCAAATTTTAAATCATGCATTTGACACGCTTTATTCGTGCTGAGTTCAGCATAAATATATTTTTTCTCAATTATTTTTATACTTTTCAACATGATTTTGACGATCCCGTTATTTAACTATGATGTTATTACGACACGTGCTAGACGTGTGTGATTGTTAATCGCGCAATTAAATAATCACTTTTTGATACGGTATTTCGGTACAAATTTATGTAAATCCTAGTTATTTTTCCTTCGTTATTATAATATGATTTGGTCGAATGTGGTAATGAATTGTAATTTGGTCAAAAACTAAACATTCAGCAAAAAAAAGAAGAAGAGAAAAATCGACTGAACGCCGTACACTTGGGACCAAATAGCAAAATCTTTTACTGCTACTAAACACTGAAACTAAAATTTTAATGACTCAGAATAATATTTCCTGCAAAAACGTATTCATAAATTAACTCTACAAAGAACGTTTTTGTCAATCAAGAAAGTTTTTGAAAATGTCGAAAAGCAAAACAGAGAACATAAAAATCCTAATTTTTGAAAATTTTTTTTAAAGCTGAACATCTCAGTTTTTCAATTACCAGAAAAAGCCAAGAAAAAAGAATTAAGTCATCAAAAATGCTATTAAAAATTACTGCATTATAATGAAAACGCCTAAAATTTTTTATTTTTTTATTTAAAGAAAATAAAAAGATAGAAAAAACGTTCTTAATTTTTAAAATGAAAAACTTATGCCGAAAATCTCAATTTAAATTTTTCTCATTGCCATAATTTTAGAAGAAAAAAAATTGCTATAATATAAACTTTATTAGTAACTTTATTTTTTAAAAAAATGCTGAGTTATAATAAAAATGCCTAAAAAAAGAAAAACAGAAAAAACAAATTTTTCTTAGTTCCTGAAACAAAACTATAATACTGAAAATCACACTTTTCTATGTTACTGGTTATTTATATTACAGTACAGGGAAAGAATGATAATAAATTAATAGTATGAGACGTTCTGTTAAAATGCTGGGTTTATAATAAAAACAGCAAAAATGGAAAAAAATCCTTCTCAATTCTCAAAGTATCGAAAAAATGACAAAATTGACTTGTCTGATTATAATTTTAAAAAAAAAAGTAATATCTATAAAAATTCAAAAATAAAAAAAACTTAGAAAAATACATTTCTAAAAAATATTCTGCCAAATATTTGACTGATCATTCAACCAACTGAATTTTTCACAGAAGGGCCAAATACTCGTTACATCCCTCCCTAATTTAAATGCAATGTTATTGCAACTTGAGAAATTCATAAAATGGCGGAAAACGTGAATTTTTAAACTGCTCACTGTTTGTAGTTTGGATTTCAATTTTTTGTTGCTTAAGTGATCTTTTTCGATAAAAAAGAAAAATGTTTACGATACAAAAAAATCTAATAATTAATAAAATAAAATAATAAAGTACATTACAAAATAAGCATTGAATTTTATTTTGAAATATCACAGTTTTTTTATTTTAGGCTTTTGTTTCAAACCTATAAATTTTCTTCAATTAAAATATTTAATTTGAATTTATAATACTTAAATATGACTAAACTTCTTCTTACTTTCATTCTGTGGGCATTGCAGTTCTTTTTTTATTTATTAGAATTAAATTCTAAAATGAATTTTTGTATTGCATGATATGATAAAAAAAAAAAATTCTTTTCTTCAATGTTTATTTATTNATCATAATTATAGTAGTATACAATACTTGCAGTGTATACTACTATAATTATGATTTACATAAGTTTTTTTATTTTTGAATGAATTCTAATAATGGAACACTACTAAGTTATTGATATTACTAAGTTTATTGATAAAAAAAAATGGAATGCTAATGTTTAAATTGTCATTAACATGACTAAATACACGTGCGGCCCTTCGTTAGCCAACCTGCTGTGCAAGTGGCCCTTCACTCAAAAAGGTTGTGCACCCCTAGACTATTAGATCAAAAGTAAAAAAAGATCAATAGTATGTGCTGTACATACTATTATAGTGTAAATAAGATAAGCTGTAAAACAACATTTTCTTTTGTCATATTGAAAGAATGATTCAAGTTGTATGTGACTCTAGTAAAACTCTGCAAATCATTTAATGTGGTTTTAAATCTGTAGTACCACATTTAAGATAAATATAAAAGTGTGATCAAGGAAGAACATTATGAAGAAATTTTATGCTTTAGAATGAGTGACTGGTAATAAACAAAACTTTACCTCTGATACTTGTTTTCTTTTCGTTACTATCATTTTCTGGAGAGCTTGAGGATGTATGTATTTTCTTTCAGACATTATATTCCAAGGGTCTGTCTAGATTTTTTTTTTTTTTTTTTTGAGCAGTACCTATTTTGTGAAAATTTAGACATAATTTGTGTAAATAAAAAATATATTAAAAATTGACACAAAAATATGGTAAAGTAAGAATATATTTTCAAAATGGGGTCACTACAAATAAAAATCATTTATGACTGGTAAGTTTCGATATGTTTTTTCCCATATATTCAAAATTAATTTTGCTATTGTAAAATTTTGGGCTTAAAATTATATCCAAATTTAAAAATTCATAAAAACCTTTCAACTTGAATTTAATAAAAACATGCATTTAACAGTACTGGCACTACAAGTTATTTCCATAATGAGAACATTTTCAACTAGGTCATACAAAAACAAAATTTTAAGAGGAGAGGAGAAGCTTAGAACTTGCTTTATTAAAATTTTGTGAAACTACCGTTCTTACTAAAGTTAAATTTGTGAAGGTGACGTGAAACGGTAGTAAATTTGTATTCAAACTAAATAAATTTAAATATTATAAATAAGAATTTTTAAAATAATGTTTTCTGACTTAATTAAAGTACTACTAGAAATTTTTTCCCCTTTACTGCATCTAAATATGGCAGGTTTCTTCTAGAGTAGGAAAAACCATCACAGAAGGAATAGAATTCTGCCAACCCAAGTGGAAGAAGCTCTTTTTCAAAAAATAAGATCTCATATTAAAAAACTTTTGTAATATAGTTTATATTTACAATCTAGTTTAAATAATAGTATTGATACCCAAGATAATTAATACATCACTTTTAAATAAAGGGAAACCTATAAAGCAACAATTGGAAATAAAAAAATAATGGAATTTAAAAAATTAAAAGAACAGTAGTAATTAAATATTTTATATAAATGAAGAATTTAAATTGTATTTGCAATTAATATTACTTAATTAATAGATCACACACTAAGCAAACAATCTATTACTAATCACATGTTGAATTCACAATTACAAATAGTATACTAATTTTTATAATTATTGTTGAGTGTGAATAAGAGGGGTAATTTTGACACAAAGTGAAAAACCCTAAAAAATTTTAGTGTAAAAAATCGATTTTAAGATACCAATATATATACTATACATGATTCGTATTTAACATAATTTTTTGAAATAAGATTTATTGTTTAATTACCTACAAATGAAGAATATCACCCTTTATAGTAACTAATTTAAGAAAATCTTAATTCTTACAAAAGTCTAGATGTTGGATTTTTGAAATTGCGTGAATATGAATCGTGAAATTGAATTTTATTAATGTGAATATGAATTGGATTTTAAAAACGTGTATACAAACAACGAATCGCAATGCATAGTTTTAAATCACGGAAAAAAAACGAAAATCGATTTTGATATTACAAACGCATGTATACAAATTGGAATATTGGACTTCGAAAATGTATGAATACAAATTGTAACATTGGATTTTAAATTCATGTGAATACAAATCACAAAATTGATTTTAATAACGAGTAAATACAAATCGCTACTTCGGATTTTTAAATCATGTGAATACGAATTACAACATGTAACTTTTAAATCAAGAAAATACTTAAATCGATGCTTGATATTTGAACAGCGAGAATAAGAATCGCAATATTAGTGTATTCCAGCGCATTTCCAATCTCATAATGCCCTCTAGCGCAATTCAAATTGGATTTCTGCTCATTGGCGGAAGAATAACATGTATGTAAATTCTTGTTAAAGGGAATTTTAAAAAATTTAAATTTGACTTTTAAATTGCTGAATCCTGTGAAAATTTCTTCAGATTATAAGTTTTTGATTAGCAAAAGTCTGAGAACCAATGGTCTTAAGAAACACAGAATTCCACAATATTCTCAGAAAAAATAGAGGCACTGCTCCTAATATTTAGACCCGGAAGGATAATACAGAAAGTGCGAAATTCCAGGGTACACCTGGAATACTCAAACTGAGTCTTAGATTATATGATAAATTGATTTTAAATTTTTGTACAAAACTAAAATAACATAAAAAGTTATTTTCTTTCCTTTTTTTAAAAAAAAGACAAATGTGAAAAGCTTTTAAATAAATTAAATTTAGAACTGAATTTGAAAATTTTTTCCAATTTCTTAATGTTTTTTCCAGTGGTGACCAGGTACAAAATGTTAATATTGATTGCCTCATTCAAATTTCTTAAAGCTAGGGAAATTTTCGATTTTTTTAAAAAAACTAATTAAATTGTCGATTACGATGTACCTCTGCCATATTGAATCCACTTATAATCAGAAATTCTACGCAAAGTTGTATTTTTAAATTTAATGCTATTGTGAATAAAACTGTTTCAAAGTAATAAAAAAAAAAAA